TCAAAAATACCAAAGCAATGATAAAATAAAGATTGGGTTATTCCATTTATATATTTTCCAAAGTTAAAATAAAACAGAAGAGAAACAATTTTAGCGCTTAACCTATGGGATTTGTTAATTGATTTATCCAGCCTTGAACTTGGTACAGTCCTTTCTTTTAAAATGAAGGGATTTTGATGTCAATGTAAAAAATCGAGCCAGCAACAGTATAGAGCCTGGTCAGACTACACAGATGTTCAGGCTGGCTAAGTCCTATACTGGTGGCAAAGGTAACAACTTTAATTTCCAGCAGGTTAAACAACATTTATTAATGTACATGTACTTCTATCCCATTCATGTAATATCCTTCCTCTTACCAAAATAACCATCACTGTTAATTTTATTTTCATGAAATCTCAATTGGCTTGGAGAATCAGTAATCACCATTTAGAGAAAAGATTGAAATTTGGAATTTTTTAAAAATCTTTTTTAGATAAGATAAATTGGGAAAAAAGCAATTTCCATGAACTGAAAGTAAAGGTCTGTTTACCAGGGGGGAAAATAGGGGATTAAAGTACATGTATATTGTGTATATATATAATGGAATAGGAAACTTGACCCCATTCTATAAACATTAATACAGAATGTTTCCTTTGATAATACCAAACTTTAACAAGTTACAAGAGAAAAACAATAAATGGAATTTCCCTAAAACTAGCCCTTGATATATTGAGAAAATTTTCTGTTTTCTTTACCAGTTTCCTATTCCATTAGTATTTTTGTCTAAAAGGTATATAAACCAGATATATTATTTATAATAATAGATTATAAGTGTAATATTTCTGTCAATTTACTGTCAGTGGTCAACACAATTTTTGTTACTTCAATTTTGTCTCAACAATTCAAGGGCTTGTTTACGGTTTTAAAAAGGGGCTTGGTGAATAAATTCAGCCCTAAACTGTAAGGAAATGAAATGAAAGTGGTCAACATTTATATACCTAATTTTTCTCATTCAACCAATCTCACATACTTTAATACATCTATGAAACTGTTTCTCAACTGTAATAAAATCACATATATACATATAATAATAGTATACACAAAGAATAAAATATTTTCAGTATAAAATTGCTAGCATCTTTAAGCTCTATAATTGATAATTATAAAGGAATTTTTGTACAAAATATATAATACATTTTAATACACATTATCAAATACTTTTGTGTATTAGACACCAAATGGCATCATTGTTTAACTTAATCAAATAAGGGTCTATAATGAAGTAAATCTTAAAACAAAACACATGTTTTTTTTTCTTTCTTTGTAATTACTTTTGATTGCTTTGTTTGAAATTTTCACTTAAAAAAGTTAATTAAGAGCCACAATGGCAAAAAATTTACTATTTTTTTATTTTTCAAGCAATCACTTTTTCTTCTGTTAACAACACTGAAGTTTTAATTTTGTTTAATCTTTTAGAAAAGATGTATAAAATAATAACTGTTTTCCATTTTATGATAAAATATTTTCATTGTGTAATTTATCAGACTTGCCAGTTGGACATTAAAATATTATTTCAAAATTGTATAATGTACATTCTCTTTACATATTGTTTTCCTATACAGAATCTTTAATAGACATTTAAATGATAATGTACAGCTATGGACATATCAGAATACCATATCAAGAAATATAAACTTTATAATATACTGTTATTTTTTCAGTGCATTAACATCTGCAGAAGTGTGATGACTTTTTAAAATCCCCAACAAGATTTACAAGGGATTTAGTAACAGTCTTTGGAATTTTAAAGATGTAAATGATTCTATTACGAGAATAAGTGCAGTCCTAACTTAATTTCATACACCTACATTTCTACTTATAAAAACATTATATTCATTAAAAGAAGCTGCCAGTTTGAGAATTATCACATACATCTGATACTGTAATGTCTGTTATTTTATTAACATCACATGTTTTAATTTTTCTGAATGTTATTGCCTAAATATATTTAGGAAATAGATATCAATTCTGAGTGCATTGTTGTAGAATAATGCACGGTTTGAGTTCAAATGCGTAGTAATATAATCACGAAGGCCGACAGGCCTGAGTGATTAATTACAAAGCATTTGAACGAAAACCGTGCATTATTATACAATAATGCACGAAGAATTAATATCTATTTCCATTCTAACACGTCAAGAAAAAATATAATTATTATTTTAAAGTTGGACTTTATGTTTGGTGGTTTAATTTGTTTTCGTCTCAGAGTTTCCAATAGAAACGTTCTTCAAAGGCTGTTCCAGTGGGTTGAAAAAAACTATCTTTAAATCTACCGTGTGTAGAAACATTTTGAGAATAACGAATTTTGAAAACGTTAATAAAACTTTGTTTGTTTATTTTATTTCACTCTATAATTTTTCAAGCGAAATACAAATTATTAAAAGTGAAATAAATGTAAAACTTAACTCGTTTGCGACATTAAAATAGCGTACTTGATTTGATTGTTTTGCACGTGCTGTTTGGCCCTACATTGTGACGTCACGTAAACAACACTTTAAACGCCTGTACAACGTTAACGACTGAATTAAAGATATTGGTGTTCGGATTAATTTTCTTAGTTAGACTAGACCATTTTCTTTCATTCTAGACAGTTTTCACAACAAAATTCGACAAATTTTGATTTTATTTATCAGATTTTTTTAACAAAATGGCGCCCTCAATGTGAAAATACACAGGGAGATAATAAGAACGGCGAGTGCATTGTTGTAGAATAATGCACGCTTCCGACCTTCTTTGTCTATATAGGAAAATTTTCGATAGTGTTAGAATTTTCATTATCATCAGATAATCTGAATTATTGAAAAAAATTTATTTTAAAGAAAGTGTACATTAATAACTTGTTAAAAGTTCACATTGCCTCCTTTGGTTTATTAGAGTTTAAGACAGAGAAATTGGAAAACAGAACTTAAACAAGAGCTGTCAATAAGACAGTGCATGACTATTCTCATACCTCAGTACTTGCCAGTAAGAAAATGGACATAGTCTGTATAAAAGTAAACTCAGAGCTATGGGACCTGTGCCCATCATATAAGACAATAATAGAAAACAATGGTGTGAAGTTTCGACCCATTCCCTTCAATAGTTTTGGAGATACAACTTACAAAAACTTAACCAAAACACTGACAATGGTGTGAGTACAACAGTTCTCCCTATTATTTTGGATAGTCAAGATAAAAATGTCAATATATATACTGATTTTTATCATACTGTCTATTTTATTTTAAATACTGTTTTGTTTGTCCTTGCGGCAATAAAATATAATTTATTACAAAAATGAAACTTGATGCATGAACATCCCTTAGAAAAACAAAACAAAAAACAATTAATTTAGTACATTTACAAATAATGCTTTTTTTATATAAATGGTTTCACTAATTGCAAGTTTTACTCTACTTGATGGTTTTTTAAGCATATACATAATATATATTTATATAACACAATAAATGAACATTTATATAGTACCTTATAAAAGCAATATTATGATAAATGTGCAAACAAAACTTTGTATGCCTCTTCTCCTGTTGATTTAGTATCACAGAAAACAAATTGTAATGTGCAAAATAAAAAGTTTCTATACTTTTTTTCTTTCCCCAGCATATAATAACTTCACTGATAACAAATACATTATAAGCCAGATAACAGAATAAACTAAATAGATGAAATGTAGAAAGAGGTATTTTCACAAAGTATATATAGAGTATTGAAAGTTGACACAAAATAAACCTTTATGCCATTATTAAGTACATTGAAGTCTTTTGAAATCTTTACAAAGATGCCATTACAAATTTTACAAAGATATCTCCACAAAGTTTAAAAAGATGTCATTACAAAGATATCTCCACAAAGTTTACAAAGATGCAATTACAAAGTTTACAAAGATATCTCCACAAAGTTTAAAAAGATGTCAAAGATATCTCCACAAAGTTTACAAAGATGCAATTACAAAGTTTACAAAGATATCTCCACAAAGTTTACAAAGATGCCATTACAAAACTTGCAAAGATATCTTCACAAAGATGATATAACAAAGCTCAAAGACATATCTTCACATAGTTCACAGATGTCATAACAAAATTTGCAAAGATATCTTCACAAAGATAAGAGTTGCCATAACAATGTTTACAAAGATATTGTCACAAAGATGTCTTAACAAAGTTCACAAAGATATCTTCACAAAGATAAGAGTTGCCATAACAATGTTTACAAAGATATTGTCACAAAGATATCTTCACGAAGATTAGAAATGTCATAACAAAGTCTACAAAGATGCCAACACAATGTTTAGAGCACTGAAAATGCAGTGTTTAGCCATTTCATCATAATAATTTCCACTCCATTAAACAAAAAAAACATATCTTCATTAATCCAAGATTAAGGATCTTAATCTAAATATAAATTTTTTATCCCATACATATACCTGTGCCACTTTCCAGACTAAAAAATTATGATATGGCACAGCCTGTGCATATATTTTTGACATGACGTCATGTGTGTTATACAAACATGCTAAATGTTAGCATTACAGTATATGCACATCAATTTAAAAGAAAATTCTTTTTGATTGTAAAAAGTTCTTTTTTTTTTGCGTGTACATGTGATGTAAAGAGGAATGTTAAATTTGTATAGCTTTTTTAAAAATTAATTGAACATATTGAATGAAACAATATTATGCTCACCAGGGGATAGCTTAATACAATTTTATTCAACCCATTCAATGCATTTATAATTCACTTACACTTATTCTATATCCTTTATTTACTATAATTCCATAAAGAGAAAAAAAAGATAACAATGTATTAATAATAATCTTTCATTATCAGAGTGGAGACAGATGAAATTAATGACTAAACATAGAATGAGAAATGCACATTGCATGCAAGCATAATGAGAGTCACGTGAAATAGCTGATAGTTCAAAAAGCTGTCATCACTTCTTCAACTTATCTGGTGCGTCAGGTTTACCTTTCGATTTTTTATCCTCCTCCTTTTTCTTATCACTTTCTTCACTTTTTTGTTTATCATCCTTTTCTGAGTTTGGCTTTTCCTCCACAGTGTCTTCTTTAACATCAGGTTTACTAACAGCCGCTTCATTCTTTTTCCTCTCCTCAGCATCTGTTGTTATGATTTTTTAATAATTACAATAAATGTTACTAAAATTGATGTACAGACAGACAAAAACATCACAAAATACTACCATTATTCAAACTACATGTATCATGGTTCATAATGTCATGAAATTTGACAACAAATCAATTTGTTGATTAATTTTGCATTAATTTAAACAACATGTACTTTATAAAAAGCAATAAGACATAATCAATACTTGACTACTGAATCAATATTGATTATGATAAACCTGCATATAACAGTCAATATATTGATAATTATAAACCTGTATATAAGAGTCAATATATTGATAATGATAAACCTGCATATAACAGTCAATATATTGATTATGATAAACCTGCATATAACAGTCAATATATTGATAATGATAAACCTGTATATAACAGTCAATATATTGATAATGATAAACCTGCATATAACAGTCAATATTGATTATGATAAACCTGCATATAACAGTCAATATTGATTATGATAAACCTGCATATAAGAGTCAATATATTGATAATGGTAAACCTGTATATACAGTGTAACTTCCGAATTCCGGAACTTCTGAAATCCGGAAACTTCTAAAAACCGAACATTTTTTTCGTTCCCGATTTTTCCCTTCTATTTTCTATTAATATAATACTTCTGAATTCCGGAACTTCTAAATTCTGAATTCCGGACGATATTTTCGTAAAATTGGAGTCAAATCAATGCAATTATACCTCCAAAAACCGGAAATATCCAAAGGTGTGAAATACATTGTAAAACGAGAATTTTTACCCTGCAGGAAGATTTAATCTCCCTATCGATTGTTTACTAATTAGCGGTGATCGTGTAATTTGACACGCGTTAAAATCACAAACTGTGAAATGGTATGTTTGAAGTGATGCGGTTAAGTTATTTACGGTGGTCAGTTAATTTGGAGTGTTTATTAGCAGATTAAATGACAATTAATTGGACAATGTATGCATCAAATGTCTTTAGGGATTTTATTGCATTTTATGTAATAATTAATTAACTAGCATCGGACGATATGTAAGTTTATGCAATTAACAACATTTCTACAAACTGATATTCAAAAGCATTTGCAGTAAGATAAAAATGTATTCTTTTCATGCACATCTTTATCTTGATTAAAAGACTATTATATATGATAATACAGTAATGGACACATCTTCCTTGACATTTAGCGACATTAAGTGGCTTAGTTTTGTCCACATTATCATAAACCTCTGAATTCCGGAAACCTCTGAAATCCGAACTTTTTGACAAGTCCCATGGGTGTTCGGTTTTCGGAAGTTACACTGTATCAGTCAATATATTGATAATGATAAACCTGTATATATCAGTCAATAAATTGATTATGATAAACCTGCATATAACAGTCAATATATTGATAATGATTAACCTGTAAATACGAGTCAATATATTGATAATGACAAACCTGTATATAAGAGTCAATATATTGATAATGATAAACCTGTATATAACAGTCAATATACTGATTATGATAAACATGCATATAACAATCAATATATTGATAATGATAAACCTGCATATAACAGTCAATATATTGATAATGATAAATTTGTATATAACAGTCAACATATTGATAATGATTAACCTGTATATAACAGTCAATATATTGATAATGATAAATGTGTATTTAACAGTCAATATTTTGATAATGATAAACCTGTATATAACAGTCAAAAAATTGATAATGATAAACCTGTAAATATGAGTCAATATATTGATAATGATAAACATGTATATAAGAGTCAATATATTGATTATGATAAACCTGCATATAACAGTCAATATATTGATAATGATAAAACTGTATATTACAGTCAATATACTAATTATGATAAACCTGTATACAACAGTCAATATATTGATTTTGATAAACCTGTATATAACAGTCAATATATTGATAATGTTAAACCTGCACATAACAGTCAATATATTGATAATAATAAACCTGCATATAACAGTCAATATATTGATAATGGTTAACCTGTATATAACAGTCAATATATTGATAATGGTAAACCTGCATATAGCAGGCAATATATTGATAATGATAAACCTGTATGTAACAGTCAATATATTGATAATGATAAATTTGTATATAACAGTCAATATATTGATTATGATAAACCTGCATATAACAGTCAATATATTGATAATGATAAACCTGTATATAACAGTCAATATACTGATAATGATAAACCTGTATATAACAGTCAATATATTGATTATGATAAACCTGTATATAACAGTCAATATATTGATAATGATAAACCTGCATATAACAGTCAATATATTGATTATGATAAACCTGTATATAACAGTCAATATATTGATAATGATAAATTTGTATATAACAGTCAATAAATTGATAATGATTAACCTGTATATAACAGTCAATATATTGATAATTGTAAACCTGTATATAACAGTAAATATATTGATAATAATATACAATAACATAATTATCTGTATTCATCTTTCCTTTTTGTCAAGATGTAATCAGTAAATAAATAATGTTGATAATGTTATATTGGCAATATAATGATAATAACAAACAGTTCAGAAAGGAAGAAATTACCTTTGATAGCAATTTGTTTCCACATAGATTTATTATTGCCAAGGCATTCTACCCATGGACGACCAACTGTGCCTGTAAAAAATAAGTAATGTGTCTTTACAATTCTAACATAAATAGGCTTAACCAATAAAACCATATAAAACATATAACAACTTATTTACTAAAACAATTCTAAAATACTGTGACAATGCAATGCATTTTTTGCATAGCTCAGGTGCCCAATCGTGCCTGAAATAATGCACTGAAGAGCAATTCAGGTCTTCCTCCACCAGTAAAAGCTGGAACGTCATGATATGACCTATACTATCAGTGTGACATAAAACTCAATCAAACAAACAAACAAAGCATGATGTTACAAAGTTTAGTTAATTTTTATCTAAGGTAAATCTGAAGTTTCTTCCATGCTTCAGACTGAACTAAAGGTTTACCTGAAGTTCTAGAAGCAGTTCTTGCTAAAGGTGAGCTAGATTTGCCTTTTTCAAACACTTCCTCAGAGATGGCATCATCTTGAATGCTTGCCTGTGATGGCGTACGCAATGGAGTCACAATCTTATCTAGCATGTCTCCCATTACCTGAAAACTTGGCTCCACAATGAAGTCAATAAAACCTGAAAATATGTATCAAAATATTATACATTGTATCTTTTGATTTTTCTTAAAATTGTTATTTTAGTAAGATAAGTTTCTTAACAGTTTTTAAAAGGGTTTGGCTGCATTCATTTTGAAAATAAGGTTGACTGAAATTTTTTTTTTAAAAAATGATGTTTTAGACAACATTTTTTAGGGGGAATTTCATATTTTAGCCTTTGTGAACGAACCCCTTTTCTGGAAGAAAAAAATAGCGCTATGTCTATAAGCTTATCAGTTAATTTACCTATTTGAGACTCAGCTACCAGAGTATTTTTTCTATCACAGAGTGGTGAAAATGGAAGTCCAAGCTCTTGCTCTCGGTCTCCCTGAAATATTTTTATACCAAACATTACAAAGTATATACAAGCACTGGTTTTATACCAAACATTACAAACTATATACAAACACTGGTTTTATACCAAACATTACAAACTGACTTACATCAATATTTGGAATACATGTACACCCTGCAATTTTCAATATTTTACTTTGCTCCATGAATAAATAGTTAATAAATATTTATGAAGTTTCTGATGAAGTTTAGTTTCTGATGAAACTTCAGTTATTTACAACTGAAGAAATACATACAGTAGAACTTCTATGAGTCGAACTTCGATTAGTCGATTTTCTCGATGTGTCGAATAAAAATGAAAGTCCCGACTTTCCCCCCTATATATTCCTTATAAAAACCTATTTATGAGTCGAAATTTTATGTGTCGAATTTTTCGATGTGTCGAGGTTTTTTCGTGGTCCGTATAAAGTAAATCTAGTGCAATTTACCACAAATAAGTCGAAGTCGTTGGATTGTTTTGACACCTTTGACCTCCAGACATTTTTCACACCTTATCTGGCTGCGAAGACGATTTCCAATCAACTTGTGTGATAGGTGTTAATAACACAGCCGTGTGTTCGAACAGCCTTTGTTTGCGATAAAATGTGTGATAAAATGCTTTAATCGTAACTTTTTTAATTGCCGTATTGGTATTTGAAAGTAAACAGTAAGAACTACTTTACTACTTTCATTTGAAAACATCCTTGACCCGGTGTCGCGTGAGAATAACACGCGAAATATTTACTATAAGCTGGTTTAGTAATCGCCCTTTCGTAATCATACGCCTTTTGTAACTCTTTGGGTAGTCGTGAAAAACGTAACTTGACATGCTATATTTATCATTGTAAAATTTAAAGATAAGATTAATGATGGAAAAACATGAAATATGTTTCGTTATAGAGCTTATAATTAGGACTAGTCACGGGTCGAAATTTTGTCATGGAATTGAGAGCAATTCATGAGTCGAAGTCCCGATGTGTCGAAGTTTTTACGCAAGTCCCATCAACTTCGACTTACCGAAGTTCTACTGTATATCTAGATCAATTTTTCAGTATTCCATATCTCCTACTTAAAATTAATGATAACATTTTGTTCTTTATACGGCATACTTCTCAATTCAACTTTTCCTGCCTTTCTTTGACAACAGCCCAAGTGCTGGATTTTCTTATGAACTTGTTGTCAAAACACTCTGTGTTATTCTTAATCCAGTATACAAGTTGCTGACAGGGTAAAGCAGAGACTATAGCCTTGCTGACATAAATATAACCAGCGGCTAATGCCTTAGGTAATATTTACCTAATTCAGGCTATATTCTACCATATATCCCTTCAGCAACTTATATTGTATCACTGTTTCTATAATATTTTCATCTTAGGTTAACAAATCAACAGCTAAAATGTCTATACATACAGACACCTATGTAAGACAATTGGTACCTGTCTGAAAAATTCTTCCAGCAAGAGATCTGTCCAGCGTTTGTGTATATCCCAGTCTTTGGCAGGATGGCTGATGTCAGCACAATGGAGAACCAGTGACAGTGCTTTTGACTTGTCAATACTAAAACAACAACAACAACAACATTTTTTTGTTTGTTTGGATTTTACGGCACGTCAACACATAACTGGCCATATCGTGCCGAATGCTATAATAGGCTTAAAATATTATGTAAAACATTGTAAATGACAATAAAAATGAGCCAATTAGATCCTAGAATACAAGTTTATCTCTTTTAAATAATCAATTATGTTTTTTGATGGAATTGTATTAAAAAGTTCTTTGAGTGAATTTACAGAATAAAATCTATTACGGGCCTGTGAAAAATCATGACATTCAAGAAGAAAATGCTTGACAGTAAAATTTTCATTACAACCTACACAGAAAGGGGCATTGTCATTTGTGAGGAGATAAGAGTGGGTAATTTTAGTGTGTCCAATTCGGCATCGAAGAAGAACTGTTTGATCAACAACATAATACTAGACAATTTCATTACAGTTAACTCTTATTAAAGATATGCTGGCATAGACTATCATAATATTGTTTATATTTACTTCACAAATCTGAAAATATTAATTTTTTTATGCTTGAATATTCAACACTGCAAGAGCACTTTTATAAGTTTGAATAAAAGAAAGACAAGAGATAAAAATTTCAAAATACAAATAATTAATATATCAAAAACTATTTCATATTGTACTTGATATTTTAGATGCAAACTAGAAATGTGTCCATAGGACACGGGTGCCCCCACACTCCACCAATTTGTCAATCTTATGTCTCTTGGTCAAATTTTTTTTTTGGCTATATGTGCCTAAGTTGAAAACTAAAAATCTTTTATAAAGTAAAGGGCAAATACTACAAATACTGAATAAATCCACAAGAAAACCCCAAGGTGCATAAGTACACATGCTGACCAACATTCTTGTAAACTTTCAGGCCTACAGGTCAAATACTTTTTGAGTTACAGGCAATACAAGTTGAATATTGTAAATTTTTACTTAGTCAAGGACAATAACTCTAAAAAATACTAAAAATATCCATATGAAAATACACAGGTGCACAACTACACATGCTGAGCAACATTCTTGTATGGTTTCATGACTCTAGGTCAAATACTTTTTGAGTTACATGCAACACAAGTTGAATATTGTAAATTTTTACTTAGTCAAGGGCAATAACTCTAAAAATACTAAAAATATCCACACAAAAATATGCAGGTGCACAACTACACATGCTAAGCAACCTTCTTGTAATGTTTCATGATTCTAGGTCAAATACTTTTTAAGTTACGTGCGACACAAGCTGAAAATTGGAAATTTTTACTAAGTCAAGGGCAATAACTCTAAAAGCACTAAATATATCCACATGAAAATACTCAGGTGCACAACTTTACATGCTAAGCAACATTCCTGTAAGGTTTCATGACTAGGTCAATTACTGTTTGAGCTACGTGCGACACAATAAGAGAACGGACAGACGGACAGATGGACAAGGGTAAATCTAAATAAAAATCTGGAGAAATACAAAATCTGTTTAAATCTATAAGTATGTAAGTTTACAATCCAATCTGATAAAATGGTGACCATCTATGAAGCCAGAAAAGTCATTAATTTTGCCTTAGAGAAAAATCTTAAGTAGATATTTCATATTTTTTCTGAAGATAGGACTGTTTATCTTATGCTTTTCAGTGGATTACTGATTTATCCGTGAAAATTATATTTGATAATTTCACAGTGAAAATTATCAAAATATAATTTCACACTTTTCAATGACGAAACTACTTTCTTAAGATTTTCCCCATGTGGTACCTCAATTTTATTTTTGCCGACCTTTCTGACAATGTCAGGCTGTTCAGAGAAAAGCAAAGCTGAAAGTTATAAATAACTTAAATGTCAAAAGTAATAAAAGACGAAAACTTACTTCTATCCATTCAAATTACCAATCACCAAATATTGTCTCTTATTTTTTGCTGAAAAATACATTCCTTCCACATGCAAAACTGCTCTTGTATGTTTAAGTATCCTACGAGCAATAACTGCCGTATGCTTTATGAAGACTTGAAAAGCAATAACAGCCATCAGCTCGAAGAATAAGTAAACAACCCAGCGTTCTTTAGGCAGCCTTTCAACTTTCCAAGTTTTCCATTTTCCTAACCGCTTTTTGAATGTTTACACTTCTGTCAACACTTATTTATTGTCTGTTACAATCCTCAAATAAGTTTTCTTTCTTTTAAAAAGTTGTATAAATGATATCCCTCTGAACCAAACACAATTATTTATCTCCAGTGAAATTCACAACTTTTAAAAATGGCGACCGCTTACATTTAACAAAGCCAGGTCTAATATAAATTGGCAGTAAGTAACAGAAATATAGATGGATGGTTGCACTTTTTCTCCTAATATAATTGTTTGTTTTTATTATTAAAATAAGCGATCATTCATATTTTTTTAATAAAATGAATAATATTATGGCCATTTAAAGTTGATTGTCGAACTTATTTCTCAGCCCAAGATTTCTTGTATTTTATGAGAAATTCGACTGATACATGTACATAATAGTGGCTACCAGTGGGGAAAACAGATTTTAATATTAAAGTAAATATCAAGGAAATTTCGTTTTAACCTGTTTTTAAGCATAAAATAAAAAGAAAATTTGTTTGTTTGTTTGTAAGATGTAATTTTATTTTTTATAACAAATATCCTCTATATAATTTTTTATTCAAGGTGATTTATCTAAAAGGTGTAACCTTCATCATTTTTATTCACCTTTTTTATGAATATCACATGTACATTTCTGGTTTCCCCAACAGTTAAAAATAGAAACCAGTTCTCTTTCAAGAACACAAAAGCAGATTGAAATTGAAGATCACAAGAAGGTTCCCTCATATTGGTCACAATCAGATACTTAAGCATCTAATCAGATTGTTATCATCTAGTAAGCATTGTTATTTCACTATCTGCATGAACTTGCCAGTAAAAAAGGAGGGTAAATTGTAATGATTTTAATGAGATGCCAGCAAGAGTAATAAAAATGTATATCTTGATAGCTCTTCTATTTTTAAAATAGGCAATCTAAAAAATATTTCAACAATGGCAATTTGCCTGTATGAAATATTTGTTGCTTTCATAGAAAAAACACAGAAACTGAAACAGAGTATCAAAATTAACATATAACTGTATTAATCAGCAAGAATGAAGTTAAAATATAACAGAAAGTGACATGTTTATTAACTTGTATATTAATTACCTTTGAAGAAATTCACCAGGATCAGCTTTGCTGGAATTACATGCTTTATTTTGACCAGATATAGTTAACCAAAATGTGATATAACTTACAAGTTCTTCTTTGCAATAACACACAGAAAGAAAAAAAAAATCTGTAAAATTTCTGTAAAACATATTTCTGTGAAGCAACTATAAAATTATACCAGACTTTTTTGGAAGTTATATGATCTGAAATAATAACATTATTCTCCTTCAAAGAATTTTTTTATTATTAAAGTTTTTAAAACATGAACAAATAATAGTTTTATGAAAGTATCTAATTTGAGAATTACATAATGTGATGTCTTTGCCTTGGTGTTATTATTTTACAAGCAAATAACCTTATTTGCAAAAAAATAAGTCATTTGAATGCATTTTCATTTTTCTGGTATCTGAGAATTACGTCAGGATGATACCTTATATCTTAAATACATGTATATTGTTTATAGGTAAATTTGATTTTTGTCAATTTCATATATAAGTCTTTTCTTGCGGGTATAGAGTGAACAAATACAGAAATTAGTAATTATATATATGCTCTTTATCCCCAGCGACTTAATATTTGTGAAATTCACGGTCACCATGATTGTGCAAAACTTTGACTCTGCGGGAACGCCAATCTTATGATAAAACGCGAAATACTGTTTCCGTGAAAGTTTCTAGGAATAATGTAATTAATACATATTTTACTGAGTTGATGTATTTTTACTACGAATAATACCAGAGGAAATGTAGTTATGTACTGTATACAATTCCACATGTGTCTAATGGAATAGGCCGACAGTAACTATTTAGCTACTATCAATATCCATAGTTCATTTTACAATTTTTTGATTCCATTATTAAAAATTACTCTGCAGTTTAATGGTTTATATAATAAATACAATAATTCCACACTGAATGTATCTATACCATTAAAATTCATGTGTACAAAGTACATGTATATACAATGTAATTTTACTGTCAATATCAATTTATCATTCTTAATTTTAATCCTTTTATAGTATTAATTTATATCATTTTATATAAATATATTCATATCATTAATAATGTAAATAAACTGTAAATGTAGTAACAGCTAATATAGTTACATATTAAAAATATTTGTACTTACTTTTCTGGCATGCTGAGGAGATTTTTCATGTTTTTTATTTGCTGGAAGTGGTAGGACATGTCGGTTGCTAGCACCATGTCAATTACTAGATTTCGGAACTCTCTGTAATAGTAACATCAATCAATAAATAGCAGATAAAATAGAAATCTCAACTAAAATACATGTAGTATAGTACTTGTTATCTCCCTTTCTCCATCATAACAACAAGCAATTGGATTCTCATAAATAAATGCTTTTTATCTAAGGTAGAAGTCTAGTGCCACTAGAACTACCAGTCTTAATGCAAAAACTTAGAGTCTAAGAATACCATCATTATAATTCTAATACCTTTTTATTTACAATCTGGACAAAAAGAAACCCCCCAACAGTCAGACAGATGGACAAACTGGTTTCTGTATAATAACTTACATTGTTATTGTGCATGGGGGTATATTATACATTCTAACAAGCTTCACATTACTCCCCCATCAAACAGATAAGCAGTCAGTTACTTTATTTTATGATCTGCAAAGCATGAAAGGGAATGCTTACACACTTAATTATGATGTCAGATATGACACCAAAAGGTCAAATAATGTTAGGGAAAATTCTTAAATGCTCAACAAGGAGTTCAACATATTTCATCACTGTTTTTATAATTATCATGTTAGAATGAAAATGGATATTAATTTTTCTTGCGTTGTATTATTATGCACTGTTTATTGTTTAAATGCTTTGTTATAAGTCACTCAGGCCTAGTGGACCTCGTAATTATATTTCTGTGCTCTAAAACCCAAACAATGCATTATTCTTTGATGCTCTAAAATTTGATATCTATTTGCTAAGTATCTATTGCAAATGCTTCAGTTTTCCTTAAAATCAGAAAGTCAATGAAAGTAAAATAGATAACAGCCTTAAGAATGATTTTTGGAAGAATTTGGTCTGAATAGAAAATTGAAAAATTTTCATCATTTGAAATAAAAACACTAGACATTTGATTGACAATTTTAAGGAAATCATAAAAAGATATGCTGTAAAATAAAGATTTTACCATTTCTCTTGCACTGAAGCATGCTGATTTTAAGTATTTGAGCGTAGAGATATTTACAAATATTGATGCATGGCATTGACAATGATACTCAGACAATACCTCCTAAAATTACACTTACTAAAAGGTTCAGACAAGCTTAAAACCAGGAAAGGTTACTTTAGCCACATTTAGACAATGTTTTATGCCCTCTCTTCTACAGCTTTTAATGTGCTTCTGTTCCATAAATATTTCAACCCATTATGGATTACTGGATATCCTATTTTATGGTGTCACATGATACTTGAGTCCTGCCATTTGCAACAATTTAAAGGCCCATGATAGTTTGATTTGTAATATGGCTACAAAAATACATTACATTGTTTGTTTTTGTGTCAAATTCATTCTAGTTTTAATTTACTTTAAGAGAGAAAATTGGTTTGAATACAAGCTTAAGTTTTGTGATTGTATTTTAATCAACTACTTTGACCCCTTCATTGACCCCTTCATACTGTAAACTAAGTAGGTGTTTCTTTTTTAGTTGATAATATTAACCATTGTACAACATGACTTTTCCTATTATGTCAATTCAGACAGAAATTTTAAGAACATTATGACACTTACTGATCAGAAAAGATAAATTAACAAATTGTTAGTAAAAAGATTAAGTATAAACTGCCAATGATAAGTTGCTAACAATTGTTAGCTGACTGATAGGATTTGAATGGATGTGACTTTAAACACTTAGTAAATAGAAAAATATATTTTATTGCACAAGACAATTTAAACAAGAAATTTACATAATATGCAGTCAGACCATGCAGGATACTTCCTTGTATAGACAAGTTAAGAATTATTGTCAAACCTTTATTGCATGAGAAATAATTTAGGTCTAACTTAATTTGAAACCGTTGACCTCATAAACCAAACATCTTTGTTAGTAAAACTGCTATGGAATCATAGAGTGAGTTCTGCTTCATTAATATTTGAGAGGCAAATCTAAGTTTTTCTGAGATGAGTGAACAAAACAAACTTGGATTACCTTCCTTACCATAATTTAAAACTTATAACTAAACAAAACCAAACCTGTTTATGCCATTTTCTTTACTAATATTTGAGGAATATATAAACAAAATACAAACCTGTATTCTTCTTTACTAAGATTTGAGAGGATATTACTTTCCTCATCTCTCATGATTTTAAAACCTGCACTGATGTGATGGTTCTCTAGAACGGCTCTATCATTGTACAATAGTGCTACCTCAGACCTGAAAATTAGCACATATTTCACAACTTATGTATGTTTTCTACTATTTTATTGATAGATTGTTGACTGATATAAGAGCTCAGTCATTGAGGGAAAATATGACTGACTGACTGACTGGATAACAACAGACAGAGACATATCTTTATACAAATTACATGTAGTTCACCTTGATTAATCTCTGTTTAAATATACACTCAGATTCTTTTCCTGATGAAGACTTTCTCAATTATCTTCAACTTCTAAAATAAATTTTGTACTAGCATGAAATAAATATGGTAGTAAATTGCCTTTTTGGAATGACATTAATCAGACTCATTTACCTATATAGAAATGCTTTTTCAGGCGAGAGCTACAAAGCATTAATAAATAATCTTTTAAATATACAAATAAGTTTCCATCACTTCTTTATAAACTAAAATAACATGAAATAATAATAAATACATACGAGGTTTGTATGTGGAAGTTGTTTGTTGTCCCTGTATGTTCATAGTCATGTATTAAAGCTGCCACAATAGTTGCAAACACTTCAAGATCTGTCAACCAATTCTGTAATCATAACAATATTAGTTATGAGGATTGTTGACAGGTTATATGGCGATATATAAATGGCTGTTTGTAAATATAACCCGAGCTGCTAGGCAAGGGTTATATTGCAAACAGCCGTTTATATACGGCCATATATCCTGTCAACAATCTTTATAACGAATTTATAATACAGCACACATCATTTTTTAGAGAAAAAAGTAAGATTTCTTCATGAATCGACAGTAGCAGTGTATATAAAACTATATAAACATCACGATTATCCAATGAAAAGCGACGTTACAAACATGCAGTATTATAATCATGTATATACACCAGGGACCATATTGATTATAATGTTTTTTACTTATATAAGTAAAAATAAAACAAGACTGAGCTGCCAGACCAATGGTAATTCAATCAAACATCATGCAGAAATTTTATTATTACATAAAATGGAATTATTGATTATAAATCCATGATATGCCAGGTCTGTGTTAATGGCTGAGAGTATATGTGTCAAGTTTAAAATAAACACAGTTGTTGTACTGGCATGCGAGCAGTTCCCGTACAAAAATTGTGGTTACTTAAACATTATTTTTTATTACGCTCACTCACCAAAATTTGAATGTTACACATCAATATTCGGCTCGTCACACAAATCATGGAAATTCCATCATGTTCTAAACATAGAATAACCCTTAGTTATGAGGCCTCATGTGGGGTACAGAAATTATCCATTATTTTGTATGAAGAGAAGTAGTTCCCGTACATAAAATTTAACCCATTATAATTATACAATTTTATTATATCGGACCTATTTTTCATTTATAATTGTTGAACAGACCATTTTCTAAGAGATAAATAGATGTAACTCAGGAAATAGAAAGTAGACTAAACGCGTGTATCTATTACCCGGTACCGTTACCCCCAACGCATTCACATGCGATGGCATGCTTGTATGCATGATATTTTACGCATCAAAGCCATAAAATTATTTTGTATAGTAATATTGGTCAAAATTCTGATAATTAAACAAGTTTTCATCACATTGCCTTCTTATCTGTAAACAGGTGGTATTAGTGGAAAACCCTTTAACATACCTCACGTGTAAGTATGTTTGCGCATGCGCGCAAGGACGGAATCCCCCAGATAAAACAAGGTCACGTTTTGACAACGCACAGGTGAAAGTGATTTAAAATGAGACTTTTTATACGTACTGCCGAACTGACACTTAGATTTTGTCTCGTATCTGCTTGATTTGAAATGAATTTTTGAAGAATGCATGTAAAAATTAAGCGTTTAAATGAAAAATACGGGTACTGCTTCTGTACGGGAACTGCTCGCATGCCAGTAGAGTAAAAACTAAAATTCCAAAATTGATGTGAATCTATAGTTTACTGAAGAAATAAAACTGACTGACTGAAGAGCAAGCACATATGTTAACTCTACAGTACACAATGATTTCTTTCATCTCTTAAATTATAATGTGTGAGAGGTTTTATTTAACACCTAAATTAAAACAGACTGGAACAAAATTGTTGTACAACAGACAACTAACAGAAAGAAAGCAGATGAAAATCTCGAAAACATTTCACATGTAAAAGAAAACAGATAATCCCCTTGTCTAAACAGTTAACCAGCCATTAAAATAACAGTTTATTTTTTCATCTTTTATAAACTACCCCCCTCATTTTCCTATCCTTTTTTCAATTACAAAAGATGTCTGGTGCGGGCACATTATTTAGATCAGTGGTTTATCTCACAGACTAGAGAAAGTATAGGGAGACAGAAAATCACAAGACATTTACAAAGTACTTGTAGAATAAAACAATTTGTCTTGCTGAAACACAAGGCGGACTGTTGAACCAAATCTTCTATAAGCTTTCTTAAATAGCCATAAAATAAATATTAGTGACTTAAACAGGCCTGGTCTTTCTCAGAAAATAGTTTCAATGGTTGCTCAAATACATTAAAGCCATATATAAAATGCAAATATAGTCCTGACATAAAACTGGTATTAATTCATCTGAGTTACTAGAAAATAAGCTGCCAGATCAATATAAGTCAGCTGTATTATACTAGTCAAAATATAGCATTAATAAGGTCTTTTTAAAATGATTATATATACATAGATAAAATATGTCATTAATTAAAGAACAAATATTATAAAGAATTTGACAAAACTTTCAAAATTAATGTAGAAGAATTTTAATGCTGGCTAGCCAAACCTTCAAGAGTGCTTAACTGCCAGCTTCTCTCAAATTATTTGCTAACTACTTTAAGAATTTAACTTTTAAGGTGATGGAACTAACTACAAGTGTTTATCCTTTGTCACCAGCATAGAGCCAGGACAGCCAGTACAAGTGTGCTCTTTACAGCTACCTGACCAACTTCATAGTTACATTTTGATATCTCAAAAATTGACAATAGACTGTTCCAAAACTTGGTTAAGGGAGAGCACAGTCCTTACATCTAAGATTATCATAACAATCACTAATCTATATGAGATATTCTTTTATATTAATTTCTTAAACACTACATCAGAATGTAAATTCTTTCATGAATGTTGAATATGATATACTTACTACAAGTTTACTTTGAGAGAGTATAGTATGTACAGTCTGCGCAACATCTCCCCCATGTACTAAGTTGTGGTACGGATTTTTGTACTTGCTATAACCTGTTTCAATGGCTAACAGAAAACTATCCAACACACTGTTATTTATTTTGAACTTGGTTATCAAGTCATATTTTTGCAATAGTTCATATCCAACATATTTAAGAGCATGTCCATCTGAGGCACTATTTACAGAGAACACGTTGAAAGACCAGTCATCTAGTTGCTGTAACATAAAACCATCATTATTATCAAGTCATCAATATAAATTATATAATCATAGGCTAATCATAGGGTTATAACATAATCAGAGATCATATATATCATTTAGAATAATCGTAGGTCAATGAATGATATCAAATTGACAAAATGAATAATTAAAGCCAATTATTTCAAAATGAATAATAAATGGCAATGATATCAAAATGAATAATCACAGACAAATAATAAAAATAAAAATAATAACAGACTTAAAGCTTGTGATAATAATAATATACTAAAGCTTGTGATATTGATTTGAAATATAACAGACAAACAAACATATTATTTTAACTCAATGAAATAAATCAGAAAAAAAGCATATCTAAATATAATGATAAAGATTTCATAAAGATTTTATAACAATGGATTTCTTGAAATATTATGCAGCAAGAATACAACTTTCTCAAATAAGTACAAATGAACTGTAAAAATTATATGATGTTACTGTTTTTATCAAGTTTTGTTTTTAATCAATTTATCACAGTCATATTAATTGGGTAACAGTTAACAATATAAAATAACAGATAAATCAACATGAAGCAGTGTTCACCTCTATTTCACGTGAAGTTAAACTTTATTTCTGGTATAAATTTTATTAAAATCCAAACATTTCTTACAAATTCTTTTTTGTAAAACAAAGCAGTATGAAAGTCATCTAAATTTAGAGGTGGCCACTTCTTGTAATATAAACTGTTAACAGAATTAAAAGCTCCAGGTAGAGTTGAGAAACTGTTACCGAACATTTCTGCAATTATTTCTTCACTCTCTCTGACTTCTTCACTCTCACTTTCATACTAAAGACAACTCAAAATAAAAGTTACCTCCCTTGTGTGTCAGACCAGCATGTCCTTTTGTCACCTTAGCGCAATAATAGTTTTACTCCTATTAAATTTAATAGGAGTTACCTTGTTACTGCACTTAGGTATAAAAATATGTGAAATAAGTCTGATCTGACAACATTTTCTTAGTCTACATGTCAGAGTTTAACTGTAAAAATCCTGGAGCTTTTAATCCATAAAATATTTTAAAGTTGTGCAGTAAAAGCAGTTCTGTGAACTATATGACCAGGTTGACAATAATAATAATTATCTCCCTTATAACTTACTGAACGAATTGGAATTTAGGATTTTAGGTATGAAACCTATTTAGAATAAAAATGTATTTTTCTGCACTCAAACATAAGAACATGAACACACACGAAACTGGGCATACCTCATTACACTCATGTTTTAATGGGACAAATCGTAATCTGCAAAAAAAGCAGATGTAACATGATTATCAGCTCTACAAGGAGTTTTATAACCCTTTGTGTCCAGAAAAAATGTTGCTGTTATACACTGATAAAGAATGCAATATTTTTTCTCAAAGGCAGAATTAAATTTATTCTTTCTTTTTTCAAAGTTATGCCATCAATCCCCTAGCAGTTTATCCCAGTTGTATTTTTTTTATGAAAAAAAAATATGAGCAACAAGTAACTTTTGACATTATTTTTCAAGTAACTAAAATATGGGCCATCAATCAACCATTTTTTAAAAGGAATCTTGTGTAAGCAGTGCCTTTTTTGTATTTTAAACACTTTTTAAAAATCTTAAGTCATGAAATTAGATAGATTTAGCAAAGACATGTTGCTAAAAAAAGCCAAATTAGGAAAAATAGGAATATACATAATACAGTCATTGGGAATGTCTCTGCTAACAAGGTCATGGGTTAAAACATTTCTAATATATGGCTATTTCATATAATAATATAATTTGTCTGTTTAAAAGTAAGACTAGGGCATTTTTTTTTCAGATAAAAAACCTATACAAACTGTAGACATACATATGGAAATACAATCTGCTAGTAGAAGTATTAATATAACTTCAAAAATGTTGGCATAACTTAGAAAAAAGAAACTTAACAGAAAAAGAAATTACTAACAAACTTCTTTTTCATCGCCCACCTAAATTTAAATTCATGGATAAAATCAGATTTTAATTTGTCCCTCCTCCCTCATTCATTTGGCCTAGTGCAGGTTCTTTGTTGTTTTTATTTTCCAAGAAACATTCAATTTTAATTAAATTTCTTTATGATAGATGAATGAGACAGAAAGATAGAACTACACACTTTTACCAGCACAAGTTGATTAGCATTTTCTCTTATATTTTCTAAATTTCTACATTTCTGTTACAATTCTTTATGCAGTGCTTTTTTCCCTTCTTCACAGGGGGTCTTGTTAACAAATCCGTTCCAAATTTGCAAATTTGCCAGCAATTCTATTGTTCCAAAATGGATAATAACTCAAAATTTGGCAGTAGTAACTTATTTTGTGACTTACAAAAATACCCAATACCTTTTTTCAAAAGGGTTGGAAAAGACACTGCCTTGACTGTTATGCTTAAAAATTCCAGCATGTAAAAACTAATTTTGTTTCATGTTGGGTGTAATACAGGAGGGTTGAGGGGACTATTTTTAGGTGACTTTAATAACAGACATATAACGATCACAATGCTGTGCTAAAAACCCAACATGTTCATCAGTAAATACTTTGGTTACATACATTATCATCCATCCATTTTTCTTTGACATACCTTTAAAATAAGAAGAACATGTGGTGGAACATTTAAACCAGTAGAACTTGAAAGTCTGCGGTATATTCTGAAAACAGTTTTAACATTTATACTTACATTTTACATTATTTTAACATCTTAAATTAACATTAAGCTAAGTTACAAAACATGGAAATTAAAACTGGTCAACATTTAACATTATTACCTAAATATAATAATTTGTGTAACTTTCCTTGTTTGTTATTAAAAGTTTAATTCTGAATTATCAATATGAAATGACTTTGTCCTTCTATATAATCACAATCTTCTATCATACTTTAAAAAAAATGTTTTTGTTGTACAGGCCAAATGCCAACTTGCCAGTTTGACTGGTGAAAGAAGGAAGCCTAAGGTGCCCGACTGTGCCTTATTTTCAACATAAATGGGAACTGTAGTAGAACCAGCAATCTTCAGGGATAGCTTCCTCACAGTAAATCATTTTAAGTCCCTGTGATTTTCACAAAAAATCGGTGAAGGGCAAGAGCTTCTAAGCCACTCAGCCACAATGTCCCCTAAAACAATCAAATTGAACAGCACTAAATGTTTTTATTATACAAACATTTTAACTAATTATCATTTATGTCAGCTTCACATTACTTCGTTTGGTAGTTTTTGGAAGTCATTATAAAAAAATTGTAAGTAAAATTAAAAAAACAATTTTGAAAACAGAACTTTTAACATGAAAATTTAACTTGTTCATTTTTATACCTGTCCACCATAATGCCGGCCCTAATTGCATTTGCCACACTTCTAAATTTAGGTTTATCATCCCCACGTCGTTTGATGTTGCTCATAGAACGTGTAAACGTTAGAGCTAACCAATCCCGCACTTCTGTCGGGACGGCATCCGGCTCAACTTCACTGAGCTCATCTTCTTCATCACAAAGGCGTCTGCAATATATGGAAACAGAATTGCTATAATCAAAAAACATTCATTTGAATCAAGATGTAAAATAAAACCAGACAACAACAACAACAACAAATAAACAATAACTAAGAATGATGTTCAATTTACAGGTCAACGACATCTGCTGGTTATCCACCATCACCTACCATACATTCTGATGACATAAATCTTTATTTTCCATAAACTAACCTCACAGAAATTAGTCAATAATACATACCTATAATTATTTATATTTTTATCAGATAAAGATAAGAAAGAACTATAGGCATATTTCATGTATGATAATGTATGTTCATCATTACAACAACATATGTTCTTTTCAAAATATAAAAGAATTGTATAAACTAATCTATACAGAGAAAAAGATAAAGTTGAAGATAAAGAGGGACTGTAACTGAAATTATTATCAAAATTTGTGTATTCTAAATTTATATTTATACAAGAGCTGTCTGTAAAAATTGTTGTTTAATTCACACATGGAACATGTTGAAATGAAAGAAAGGGGAATGCACCACAGACATAAATGTAGACTAATTTGGGTACATGTAAATATGATTGTATAAACATATAATTTTATATTTTATTACCTAGAACTTTCTCAAAAAGGAATTAATCCGAATCATAATTATTGTTTTAGTGGACTGTTAGATCAAAAAGGTAAAAAAAAAACAACTGCAAAAACAGAAGTGCAAAGTGAGAAAAAATCACCTCGTATGTGTTGGAGTAAGAAAAACAAGTGAGGATAGAAATAATGAAAAATTAATAACACTGAGTTAGCTTCACATTGTTTATCATTACTTGTTGTTATTATTAAGTTATATGTCACACTTGAATGTAAGCATTTTGCCTTTTTGCTTAAGTCTAATACCATAAATTTTCTTTTATAAATTCTCAACAAGTGAAGTAAGAACATAATGTCAAAAACAAGACAAATAACTTTGTTTTTGCAGTGATTCTAAGCATATCTAATATTGATTGTGAAAAATGACCTTAGAACTGAACAACTCTCAGGAACTTAAACCAGTACAGTACTGATGCAATGTAAAGAATAATATGGTATATATTAAACTACTCGGGCACTAATCCCTAAAGTAGCAAATTAACCCTTTTAACAGGCAGTGATAATTTTTGTTTCATTTTCTTCATTGCTGAAACTGTTAAATATTTCCAATCTAATCTTAGAGGTTAACCATTACCATTTTAAAGTTGCAGATTGTTTATGATAAGTAAAACAAGGCTTTGGGTCATCTGACAAGTGGAATAATTCATTAAGAATCAATACTAGTTATATATACATGTATAATATTGGTCACTGACCTACAATGAATACATGTTTTGCACGCAAAATTCTAAACATTCACATTGAAGGGGCATAAACAAGTAAATATTTTTTGCTACATTTATGCATCTTGATGTAAGACCTAGAATTAATAAGAATTTGCAGGAGAATTCCTCCAGGAGATATGAAATTGCATGCCAAACCTTCAACCAAATGTTACACTGATCTTGACAATCTGAGCAATGCATTTATTTGTTCCTATCCAATCAACTATTACGTCTGCAAGTAACACTAAACAGATAAATTTTAGTTTTGTAATTATAGGGTTTAATATGGCAAAAACGTACAAGACTGAAAGACAGTTAACATACAGTAAACTATGTTAATAATCATTAATGTAACATTATTTTGTAAGTTGTTTCAAACTACAAATTTTTGTTAGCAAAAATCAAAAAATCTAATTTATGAATAACATGGGGGTATTTTCATATGATAATGATATGCTGATATGTTACTGTTAGTGTAACACAGCCTATCTGCACATCCATCCGGACTGATCAAACCTAAAATGGAGGTTCAAATTAAGTATCTCAACATTATAAGAAATACTTTAAAGTAACAATAGCAAGTACTTTTAAAATTATCCTTTAAGTTAAAGTAACAACAGGCTCTGCTATCCTCTAAATGGGCCAATTCCACATTACATATGTCTTTTAACAGGCCTTAAACTCAAATTTAGAGTTAAATAAAGCTATTTTAGCTAGTGTTGTCCCGATTGTCTCTGAAAATCGATAACTAATCGGACCACCCCAAAATCGGCGACAATCGATAGTCCTTTTTAAAAATCGATAAAGTTGTATAATACAAAAATTGCCTGTCACAAAGTTGTATAAGGTATTTGTGTTGTTTGTATTGGATTCAAAGAGTAAATCTTACTTTAATCTTGGAGACAAAAGTTTATTTGTTCTAAAAATGTGGTCACTACTGTATAAAAAAATACATAAAAGGATTGGTACCTTAAGAAAACAGGGCCTTAAAAAATGCGAAACTCGATTATACTATCGGCAGACAATCGATTGTGGTGGTCCGATTATCGATAGTGACTTTTGAGTCCGATACCCAACACTAATTTTAGCTTATATATATATATTTTTTTTAATTTGGCAAATGGAACGCAGGTAAGATTATACATAGTCCAAAGTCACGTGACATGACTATTTGATACAAAAACTGCCTCAATATATAACTAGTTAGTAGTATAATTTAAATAATAAACAAAAGGGTCATTTATCTACATGCGTCTTTCTAGTACAGGGAAGTTACCTGAGTATGTGACATCACTTTAATGCATCTTGCAAATGTGCTGTGTATGTTCAATGTGAATGGCCAGTTTTATACTGCATATTAATATAAATATCAATATTAATAAAGTATCAAAATGTTCACTTCCTATATATATTTGGAGGCAAACTACTTCTAAACTACAAGTGTAGCTTTATCTAATATATGAAATTGAAAGTGCTGAGCTTACATAGAAAGGTTGAGATATATACATAATAGCAATCGCCTGGTCATTCACAGTACATGGCTACATGCTCAATACAAATAGATTGTGAGAATTTGACACAAGTTTATCAATATCAAACATTTCAAATCTCAACCTTTCTAAAAAAAAAGAAAGTAGAAAAAACCAAAAACTCATGCTATATCTAGGTGATTAATTTTGTATTATCTCAAAGTTAAAGTGATTTTCTAATATCTACAAGCAGCAAAACGCATACAGCTAAAAACGTTCAATACAGCCGTCGTAGCATCATGCAGATCTAGAAAATGAGCGCTATTTTTTTACCTGGCGTCATTCAGTTTTTGTTTACACTTGCATATTACATCACTCGAACACTCTCTGCATCTATTGTTTGGTGAAGAGAAAGATGAAAAAAGAAATATGCATACAAGAAAGAATGACAGAAGAAATGCAAACCACAGAGAAATAAAGAAGAAATTGTACACTTCTTCACTGCTTAAACGAGAAATAACAAGAGTACATGCCTGTATGTATACCTGTAACTTCAAACACACAAAAAATGTAACTTTCAAGCTATATTATATATATCTTTATATAAGACTTTGATCATTATAAATTCCAATTCTGATTCTGTACACGAGGGCTGTGATGGCCCTTTAGTGCTTGTGTGAGTAATTTTCCTATTAATATGTATTGATTGTAGACATATTTCCAAGGAAAAAGAGGATATTCTCTTTACTTTTTATGACCTCCCACTATACTTTGTAGTTTAGCTAGTGTTTGATAAAGCAATTTATAGGAAACATTTTGAACCTTTTAGTTTTTGAAGTAATCAAGGGTCAGTCAATAGCGTAATTTTTCCATGAAATTGATACTGAAACCATTTATGAGAACATATGACAATTCATGCTATAGCAAATGTATCTTGCTTTTGGCACAATCACTAATTTTTTAAAGAATTTTCTGATAAAGGTCCACTTTGGAAACATTTCTGTGAAGTATGGCAAATTGTGTTTCCTTATCAACTGTCCAAATTTAAAAGCATACCGGTACATATAATCCTTTTATCACAGACAAAGAAGTGTTAGGATATGTCTATTATAGTTTATCTTTAAAATGTGTCTTGACATGTGTATTTTTCAATGCAAACAACGTTCTGTTTGTGGTAAGAATAGAATTCAATATGAACAGGCAAAGTGAAATTTAACTCAAATTGATTATATCACTGTAAAATTTACATCTTTACTTACATGAAAAAATACCTAAGATGCCCCTCCATTCATTACTTCATGCACAAATGGGCATCTCAGAATAGAACCATTTTTCTTGCATTTGCTTACCTCAAATGAAAATTCTAAGTTCCAGCTCAGCATTGTGGAGCAAGTTATTCAAAAGTTTAATAGTAAAACAGAGGGGCAATCTTATTGAACCAAAGATCCACCATGAAAAAGCTAAATTAAAGAACACAAAAATTTGGAAACAGATAATATTTTATGTGCTGTTTAAAATAACATAAATAGTTAACTTAAAAACAAACTTTTTTTTGTGCAATATAGCATCTAATTGACCACAACGCTACAGCATTTCAAATTCAGTTTTTCATCGAAAACAAATGATTGTGTCTGCACCTTTTAATTATAAGTGTTAAATTTCTTAAATTAATAAAATTGATGTCATTATCATTTAATAAAGGGAAGAGTCATCACTGATCAGGCAGGGATTTTTCTGACTTAATTGGGAAGAGGCCTTAGCCTCTTGATTGAGGGAAAAATTATCGCTAAAATTGCTAATTTGGGAAGTAAAAAAGCAGATTTAAATTCAGATTTTTGGGAAAACTGCACAATTTTAAAGAAAATTTCTATTGGGAAGAGGCCTTTAATCGGAGTCTGTCATATAATTTATTAGTTTATTAAATATTAAGATTTTTTCAAATTGATGTTTTAACAAAAAAATATCATGTGTCTTGTCCCTCATTTCTCTAGTCTAAATATTTAAGACTCTTGGAGTCTTGCCTTGATAGATAATGAAAACTTCAATTTTAATTTAATTTGTAAAGTCCCAATATAAAGTAAAATTGACCACTTCACCCTGTCATACAAAACATTTTAAGCAAAAATCCTTGTTAAGTGAAAGGATAAAGATGTTTAAATGAATTTTAAGTTTCTAAAGTTGTTGTTGTTGTCATTCTATAAATAGATCTGGCACAAAAAGTATTCACTGCAGATTTTTATTGTACACCAATACAACAAACTAAAGCAAAACAATAAGAACTGTAGAATTGAAAATCATTTCCTTCACCTACAGTTTAGCCAGTGCAGTTGAACTTATTTCTGGATTGCCTTCTGTTTCACTGTCAGCCATCTTTGTTTTTTATTTTGTAGAATTTAAGCATGAGCTATGACATCATCAACTTGCATCACTGATGTGATGTCATGAAGCATGTCAATCAATCTTAATTGGATTTTAACAACACTAAATAAATGTAAAGGTGTCCTGGCATTGGAGAAATGCATAAAAGGAGGAATTGTTTTATAGTTTTCTTTTCTCTACAATTTGTGAAATAAATTTCCTTTCACTCAAAGAAAGTCATAATCATGTACATGTGGTATTCAAAGATAAAATCCAGTTGAATATGTGTTTATGCTTAAATGACTTTTCTTTTCTCCTTTAATCATCAACTAAATTAATCAAATTATTTTAAAAGCAATACTTTTATTTATGAATTTTACTATATGTCAAATAAAGTGTTGATTCATATTTACATTAAATTAATTTAGAAATTTAAAGAATTATCGTATAAGTACCTAATCTCACACCCAACCTATTCTCAAACCTTTCATTCATGTGCTGTTATTTTTTTACTAGAAGTGACTATGATGTCCTGAACTTGTGTGCATAAAAGCTTAGTTTCTGACAGACATGTCTGCTGATGTCAAATGAAAACAGTGCATAGGATACTATATTTACATAACATATTTTATTACTTAGTGTAATTATTCATACAAATAGCTATTACATTTGTAGGTCCTGTAAATACACCATTAACTATTTGTGAAAATGAATATAAGAGACAAAAATATCTTAAAGCAGGTACCTGAATCCTGTAGGGTTCTTTATTTTTATGTGATAGTCATATAACAATCACTTCATTGACTTAACTAAACAGTAGAATTTTAGGGATACTTGAAGGGGTTTGAGATTAGGTTCTTTATTTTAAGAGGCCATGTCAGTTTTAAAACAGAGGGTTGTGCTTTTCCAAGATGGAAATAGACCTTTTTTAATTGTTGAATTTCAGTCAAATTTTACAGATATGTTCCATAAAGATGAAAGTGTAAAATATGTAAAGAATTTTTATAAAGATATATTTTCATTTACACTAAAAGACCTCTTAATTGAATGCTTAGAGGTTTGAGAACTGGTTAGTCCACGATACTTCAAATATACAGCATAATTTACAATGCTGGGCACAAATGCATTTAACAATTAATTTCTTTTAATTAATATATTATGGCATGTTTCATTCAGATTATTTTATTATATATTACTTTGATGCAAAATAGTGTCTGTTGGTATATTATATACCAAAAGACACTATTTTGCATCAAAATAATAATAATAATAATAAAATATATGTAGAACTTCCAGTCATATATTTATGGACATGAAAAAGGGTCCTAACATCAGTGGTATGCAATTTCTGCTCTCTAATAACACTCCTTAATTACTCTATGCAATGTTACTGTTAGTCCTAAAGTTTTGGTAAGTTTCAATATAAGCCCTTGATTATAATTTGCCATACAAATGTGCTGACAAAGGATACGTTATCATTAATTGATACAAATCAAGGGCCATCACTCTGTGGGGGATGCATATTGAATTCTTTAGTAATTATGAAAATATCATGTCTATAAATATTAAGAATAGTACTCAACATCCTATAATGATGAGTCATTGAGCAAACATTGGCTATTCCATCAATGTTTGAAACTTCAAAAGTGATTGTCTTAATTATCTATTTTTGTTTGGGACAGTGAGAGACAGCACAACCCAATTCAACTAATGCAAGTTTCTGTCAGTGAGGACCTCAATCAATGAAATGATGCACATAGCCTTTCCCTTCCAATTATTAAACATTATAAATCAATGAAACCTGCTACAGATGTGTAACTTAACTTAAATAAATATTGACATACAATTAATAAAGATTACAGACAAAGTATAACCACTTAATACAATTGATTTAGCTCTCAAATAAGAAAGATTGTGCTTTATTGATTCTTTGCTAAAATGTTTCTTAAAGCTGTCACATATCTCAAGCTTTCAAATTAACTTAAGCTCAGAGAAAAAACATTCTATTTTGTTTTTGACAAAAAATTTCAACAGTATTCGAGAGATCGTTTCAACTTAAGCTATTAATTTAATATGTTCACAACACATTCTTTTTATGATCAAACATATTGTAACTGAAGTTGATTATCACTATACAGGAATTTCAACATTTTTTGGTCATTTATTGACAGCAGTTACCTAACATGAATGTCTCAATTTATTGACAGTAGTAACCTTATTTAAAAGCTTTGATTTACTGACAATACAATGTAGTTACCTAACTTGAGTGTTGCCTAACATAAGTGCCTGCATCACATTTACTGACAGCATTTACCTAACATAAGTGCTCAAACTGACCTATCACTGACAGCAATTGCCTAACTTAAGTGCTTCAAGCAGACCAATCTTTCTAAAGAAACTAACAACTAGCAAATCTCATTTGAGACAGCAGACAGAGTTATACATATTGCAATCAACTAAATCATCAGGCATTCCAAATATTCAATCTCAGCAGTCCAACAACTGTATGTGTATTGCTATATTAAACTAGAACTGCTTGCTAGGTTATAAAACCATATGCCTGTTCTAGTTATTCAGTCTACTTTAAAATTCAACTATTAAAAAATACACACGCACACACACACACATCTGCTGATGACAAACACATCAAACCCCTACTCCAATGAAGCAAATAATTCTAATTAAATATAGAAAAGGTCTTGTTTATTATAGTGTCACCCATACTGAAAAGGCCAGCCATTTCTGACTTATTAGACACCTTTTGCTTGCATACCATGTACCTCCCAACTCCTATCACTATGCCAGGCGCACGGCAGATAGAAATCAGTAACCATTCATTTTAACTACCTAAGCGGCCATTTCGGAACGAGTCCCACAAGAAACATTCATCCTTCAATTAACGCTTCCCCTCCGGCTCAAACCTTCAACCTCCTGATCTGAAGGCGGAAGCCTTAATATAATTATTTATAACAAATGACATATAAGAAGAATTCTATAAATTCACAACAAAGTTAAGCAGATTTCAATATCGTGTGCCCTTAAACTATTTAGCATTTTGATATGTCTTTGATTTCAATACATTTACAAAACCCCTTATATGTCCTTTAAGTAAGCACCTTAACACAATCCTTTCAAACACAAACCCCTCAAGCTATAAAGCATTTAATACAAACCCCTTGTATGCCCTCAAACTAGCACATTTAATTCAGCAATTCAAATAGAAACCCCTTATAATTCACTCCCTCAAACTAGCACCTTAAAGCAATTGCAATCAAGCTATATAAAATAAAAAACATACATTTTCTATAATCAATATACCTATCTTCTAAACCAATATGCTTAACATTTTCTAAAATAAATATAATTATATACTTACTTCTAAAAGATAAATAAGATTTAAAAAAGAAAAACCACAAGAGTTAATGTGTATATAAAATACCTTGTTTCATCAATATAAACAGTTTCTAAGACTTGTGCTGCATATTCAAGGTTCTTCAGTAAATCTTCTTTTGAAACATCTTCTTTCTGAAGCTTTCGAACAATATGTTTTAATCTGGAATAAAGTTGGAGATGTATATATCAATCTCATAAACAATTTTATCACTTTGAATACATACAAATTATGTCTAGATAATAATACTGCCAGTTTTCTGATCTTCTTAAATCTCAATAAAGTCTGATCTAAATTGTATGCATCAATTACTTTTTAATTTAAATCTCGAAAATTCTACCAAAGTTATGTTAAACGTTTCAGAGCACTTAGTTTTCTGTTAATCAAACCAACTTTGTAAAGATTACAAGATGACACTCTAGGTTTCCTGGTGGAAGACCACACATAATTCCAGGAAAAAAAGCACACCTGAGTAGAACCACCTATCTTCCATATTTTTAGCTAACTAAATATCTAGCTTCTTCACCCACAGTGGCAACAAGGGCAGAGTGATTTGTACCAGTAAAGTCCACTTTTTATTCAAGTTACAAATTTACAAAGATATCTTTAATCCTGCTTATTGTCTTGAATAATATTCATAAAAATAAAAAATTAATATATCCATTAAGTTTGATGGCATCATCATATTACGTTTTCTGATCACTAAACTTAATGTCACTGATTAGCCTTTATAACAGAAATGATTATACCACAGGATATTCTCTATTTTTATGAAATTTATTTCATAGACTCTAACTTAACAGTAACCTTAATGAGCAAACATGTGAAGCTTCCGGAACATCAACTGGTGGAAGCCGGTCAGTGCCAAGGTCAACACTAGCGTATGAGTCACTCTCAACACTTGTGATGCTAGATGTACGACTACTGCTGTCAGACACCACTTTGTTCTTTGAATTGGATCTCCGAAGCACTGTCAAAGACCCTGTACCTGAAATTGAAACAAAATACTGTCAGAAACCTAAATGTACATGAAACAGATGTGCAGCTTAAAAAACCTGTTAGATACATTGTACATGAAATAGATATACAGCTAACATAAATTATAACCTTGTTAAATTCCTTGTACATGAAACAGAGGTGCAGCTTAAATATAATCCTATTAGATACCTTGTACATGAAACAGATGTGCAGCTTAAATATTACTCTGACATTAACAGTCAAATTACAGCACTGTCAGAGAATCTGTGTCACAAAGCTGGAATATAACCCTGTCAAATACATTGTTCACGAACCAGATGTATACAGTTGTAACACAGAAAACATATACCTGAACAAATCAAACACTATCAGAAACTCAGTACCTGAAACAGATGTTCAGATGAAATATAAAGATGTCTGACACCTTGTTGCTAGTGAACACCTGATATGCTTTTACAAGTAAAATCTCAAAAATTTCTACCATTGAAAAAGTAACTATTAAATTATAAATTCTGTAATATTTTGATGAAACAAACTGACACACTGTATGTTATTGATGACGGTGCATGATTTTTGCAAGTTTTGTAAACAAGTTCATGAAATTTTTTTTTAACCCTGGTATTTAATATAGAGTCAGAAACTATATAGAACCTGAAACAGATGTTTAAGAAACAAATGTCCAGCTTGAGTGTTATCCTATCAGAATTTTTATTGTCCCTGAAATAGATGAAGATCTCACATATAATTGGTAATGAAATCAAACAAGAAACAGAAATATGGCCACTACATAGAACAAAATGTTGGTTCACTATATTAGTAAGTGACAAATAGTAAACAAAGAGAATAAATATATCAGTAAAATTATTTTTATATATATATATTTTTCATTTAGGTACATTATTTTTTTTATATCATATTCACTAAGCTAATATACATGTCAGCATGCTACAAATGTGAATAATAATGAAACCAAATCAATGTAAGATGTCAGTGGAACCAAATATTACTAGGGGTCTTTTATATTTTTTTCTTATACAAAGTCAAGCTAAAACAGATATAAATATTGTGTTACTAATTTCAACTTTAAAACTGCTCCTGTCAGCACAGAGTTCAGGTGTGTTATGTTTATAAAACACTCAATCTATTACATACAGAATTACAGAATTGTGTGGGCAGCTCCATTAGACTATATTACTACAACTTGCACTTAATGTTGTCTAATGCAAACTGGAAATTTAACATATTCCTAGAAATTGGGTTTAAGTTACAGAAATATATACATTAAAAGAAACTAATGGGGCCATGTTTATTTTCTAGGGAAATGTTTTATTCACATTGATACTGAAATTCAAGAATATGCATTGTTTACTGTTTAATTGAAATTCTACACATTGTTTACTAGAACTTTAAATGGCACAAAACCTCCATTACTTTGTCATCATTACACTGGATTTTATTCAGTATAAAAACATTCAACCTTTAAAATCTACAACTGAGAAAATTGCATTAAATTTAAAGATTTAATCACTACCATACATTTAAACAATGATACTTTAAAGAAGATTCACTGAAGTCAAAATGCCTAAAAACATAAAATTTGAAATTCTTTTTTTTTTTTTTACATTGAAACATTTAAACCCTATTATATTAATACATGTATTCTTCATCACATTAAACGTAAGGTACTTATACCATTGAAACATTTGATCCCCATGACATTGCGAACATAATGTATGGCCATTGAAACATTTAATCCCCATGACATTGCAAACATAATGTATGGCCATTGAAACATTTATTCCCCATGACATTGAACATAATGTACTTTTACCATTGAAACATTTAAACACCATGACATTGAACATAATGTATGACCATTGAAACATTTAATCACCATGATATTGAACATAAGGTACTTATACCATTGAAACATTATATCCCCATGATATTGAACATAATGTATGAGCATTGAAACATTAAATCTCAATGACATTGAACATAATGTATGACCAAAGAAACATTTAATCCCCATGACATTTAACATAATGTATGACCGTTGAAACATTTAATCCCCATGACATTGAACATAATGTATGACCGTTGAAACATTTAATCCCCATGACATTAAACATAATGTATGACCGTTGAAACATTTAATCCCCATGACATTAAACATAATGTATGAGCATTGAAACATTTAATCACCATGATATTTAAACATATAGTTCTCATAACATTGAACATAAGGTTCTTATACCATTGAAACATTTAATCCCCATGACATTAAACATAAGGTACTTATACCATTTAAACATTGAAATATCCTCATGATATTGAACATAATGTATGACCGTTGAAACATTTAATCCCCATGACATTAAAACATATAGTTCTCATAACATTGAACATAAGTTACTTATACCATTGAAACATTTAATCCTCATGATATTGAACATAAGTTACTTATACCATTGACATATTCAATTCCCATGACATTAAACATAAGGTACATATACCATTGAAACATTTAATCCCCATGACATTAAACATAAGGTACTTATACCATTGAAACATTTAATCCTCATGATATTGAACATAAGTTACTTATACCATTGAAACATTTAATCCTCATGATATTGAACATAAGTTACTTATACCATTGACATATTCAATTCCCATGACATTAAACATAAGGTACATATACCATTGAAACATTTAATCCCCATGACATTAAACATAAGGTACTTATACCATTGAAACATTTAATCCTCATGATATTGAACATAAGTTACTTATACCATTGAAACATTTAATCCCCATGACATTAAACATAAGGTACTTATACCATTGAAACATTTAATCCTCATGATATTGAACATAAGTTACTTATACCATTGAAACATTTAATCCCCATGACATTAAACATAAGGTACTTATACCATTGAAACATTTAATCCTCATGATATTGAACATAAGTTACTTATACCATTGAAACATTTAATCCCCATGACATTAAACATAAGGTACTTATACCATTGAAACATTTAATCCTCATGATATTGAACATAAGTTACTTATACCATTGAAACATTTAATCCCCATGACATTATACATAAGGTACTTATACCACTGAAACATTTAATCCTCATGATATTAAACATAAGGTACTTATACCACTGAAACATTTAATCCTCATGATATTGAACATAAGTTACTTATACCATTGACATATTCAATTCCCATGACATTAAACATAAGGTACTTATACCATTGAAACATTTAATCCCCATGACATTGAACATAAGGTACATATACCATTGAAACATTTAATCCCCATGAAATTGAACATAATGTACTTATACTTATAATATTTACTGAAATATTTAATCACCAACCATGACATTAAACATAATGTATGACCATTGAAACATTTAATCCCCATGACATTAAACATAAGGTACTTATACCACTGAAACATTTAATCCTCATGATATTGAACATAAGTTACTTATACCATTGACATATTCAATTCCCATGACATTAAACATAAGGTACTTATACTATTGAAACATTTAATCCCCATGACATTGAACATAAGGTACATATACCATTGAAACATTTAATCCCCATGACATTGAACATAAGGTACATATACCATTGAAACATTTAATCCCCATGAAATTGAACATAATGTACTTATACTATTGAAATATTTAATCACCAACCATGACATTAAACATAATGTATGACCATTGAAACATTTAATCCCCATGACATTGAACATAAGGTACATATACCATTGAAACATTTATTCCCCATGACATTGAATATAATGTATGACCATTGAAACATTTAATCACCATGACATTGAACATAATGTATGACCATGGAAACATTAATCCCCATGACATTAAAACATATAGTTCTCATAACATTAAAAATAAGGTACTTATACCATTCCAATGACATTATAAAACATTTCGTCCTAATGACTTGAAACATTTAGACTTTAACCTGTCCTGCAACCTTTGCCAGTTTGAGTAGAGTAGGGAGGTCGGTAAGATGTATTTTCATCCAAAACATTTTTATTGAACATACTTATATCTGATTGATATGGATTTCAAAAATAACTTGTGAATGCTTATAGCATCTGTTTCATATAAATCCCAGTTTATACAACTATAACGTATAATGCAAAAAAACCTGAGACAGACATAAAGATGTTATGATAATAATTTTCATATACAGACTCTGCTTCTATATTCAGTAAACAATATTTTTTATTTGGCAAAAATATTTTGGGTAGCAATAATATATATATTATATAATTTGCAGGCAGTTAGGGAAATCAGACAATATTTTATTACAGGTCTAATAGCATTTAAACAGTTAGTCCTTATGACATTACAACATTTAGACCCAATAGCATTGACACATTTAGCCAAAGTGAAATTAAAACATTTAGACACCATGGCATTCCCATGGCATTAAAAGTAAAAATTCTAGCAACATCATTTTGAGGTATTTTGTATCGAAATTGAATTCAAAATGATGCGAAAAATGATCTGCGTGGCAAAGCATTCTTCAAAATCTGAAACACAAGCATGTTCTTGAAATCAGATATTTTTAAACTGTGTTTACCTTTTCAGCTTTGATTTGGTCGATGGCTCTACAATGGAAATGTTGATAGCTCTCATTTAAACAGATTACCAAAATGTGAGACCATACAAGAGCCACCTTTAATAGGGGTGTAATGACATAGCCTCCTATGAGCAAAAAGTAGATTGCAACATTCAACAATCATGCTGTATAAGGTATTAGTGCCATAGTTCTTGTTAAATAAACATTCAACACTTCTGAATAAGATCAGTATTATGGTTATATTTTAAATATTCAACAACACCGTATGAGGTCAGTGTTATGGTTTTATTTTAAATATTCAACAATACCATATGAGGTCAGTGTTATGGTTATATTTTAAATATTCAACAATACCGTATGAGGTCAGTG